GTGGCGCGGACAGGATTTTGGAATTCTTAAGCTGTTTTTCGTAGGCTGATGATTTCTCACCACCGACTCACTATATCGAGAAGCAGGCGGTTAGCGTGTGTTGTGGCAGAAATTTTCAGCCTTCGACTGAAGTTTAATTTTGTATTTACATATGCGTTTAGAGCATTAAAGTAGCGTTGACAGTGACTGTACTTTGTTCAGAGCACTTTGCTAGGAGGCTGCTTTCATCATTAGCAGGGAACAGTGAAACAAGACAGTACTGAGTGTGTGGGTGAGACATGAGTGTGTGTTGGCGCGAGCGAATACAAAGAACTGTGAAAAGATACGGTTTGGAAGGGGCTAGGAGAAGATTTTGTCGTGTGATGAGTTCTATAGGAGGATGATTTGAAAGTATCTAAGGTGGACAACACTGCACATTGGACGCCTTGTTACTAATAGTGTAATTTTTTGGCAGGCTCCTCTATTTAATAACAGTCCTTTCTTGTATTAATGAATGCATTTCAGTAGCTATAGGTAATGTTTCTTTGTTATGCTGATGAAGGACTGCATATTAATGGAGCGCTTAATGATCAATTAACATCCAAATACTTGGAGTAAGTTTATCGACGCAGTTTACTGAATGTGTATAGGCATTAGATTAATTATTCAGAACGTATGTGTTTGTGTTACACTTACCGTTAATGTAGCAGGTGAGATGATTTAATAATGGAACTGTGTTTGCTCTTGACCACCATTCGATTGATATTTTGGAGACGAAATATCTTATCCCAGTTCTGCGTCAAGAATCTTCCTTTTTGAGCACCGCCCATAATGGCTGTATGCTGGACGTATGACAGCCAGATTCGCTCCTTTCTTACGACAAAGAAACAACAACAACAGTTAAACGTAGGTCTGATATGACATTTCGATGCAGAGGTCTGGTGACTGGAGGATTTTTAACCAGGAGGCAGAGGATCGTTCGCTATTCAGCTTGCTTCCAGGATTATGATGCGATCACTGAGCTAATCTACGTGCGTATATTGCCGGGGTAGTTTTTCGGAACGCATGGTTTCGCTGCTTAATCCAATGCTGTACTTGGGTGTATGAGTGTGGACTTGTGCTGAGATAGGAAGATGTCGCCAGACCGGAAGTCGGTTGCTTTCCAATCCGATCTTCCTTCCTCGTCCTTCCGGATCCACATATAAACTTTTCTGTTGCTTACATAGGTGAACATAAATAGCAATACTTGAAAGGAGGCTAAACGCATAGATATGCCTCCCTTGAATCTAGATTAAAATATGTTGAAAGAGAGTACTGACAGTAGCCTCAGTAACAAGATTGGCTCTGTTTTATCAGGAAAGATGTAACACCAGGATGAAGAAATATTACATAATGAGGAGCTTACGGTTTTGTCTTTTACTTGACGACGCTGTCTGTATTCAAATTACATAGCGCCGACGTAATGTTATTCTTTTCACCTATGGTAATATTTTAGTGTATGGTTTGTTTAACAACGCTGCCAAACTCAGGTATGTAGCGTCGATAAACTGGAACGAATGGAGATGGAGTTTGTAGTTGCCAAATTGTGGGGATTGATCAGATCAACAGAATGCTTTGTCAGGGCGGATGGTGCCCCGGACTAGATTCAAACCTGGCATTTCCGGAATACAAATTAGACGCGTTATCGCTTCGGACATCTTGCTGGCTACTAATGTCAGTGTCTGAGTCAAGAAGGGTGAGAAGGAAAAGGCGTGTAGCACCCAGGGAGAGATAAGGAACCATTCCGAATTGTCAGAATTCCTAAAGGTACTATTCTGGAGAGGGTTAGCGGAGGTGAGAGGAAAATGTTAAAATTGACCGTCGAGGAGTGGAATGTGGGCTGGATGGAGCTAGTGTCTGATCGAGAGATTATGTGAGAACGGTAATGAACGTTTGCGTTCCATAAAAGGCAGAGGAATTTCTTGAGCAGCCAAGCGACCATCAGCTTAACAGGAAGTACCTTGCTCCACAGGATTAGTTAATGGGAAGTATTTACAGAAGCTTATGTTCAGGATGTAATAACGTCTTGCAGTTCTTAGTGGGTTTAGTTCTGGAGTTTGCGCAGTGAAGTACGCTCGTCTCTATATCCACGCCGACGCGATGTTGTTTTCATCTCGTTCTGAAGTTTTTCTCGCGTGTTAGAGCATTGCTGGAGCTGCTTCCTAGTGTCGTAGTGGTTCGGGTGGCTGTGTCTGAGGAACGCAGGTTTTCAAATATTTGATTGAACGCAACCTGACAAGTATACAATAACTGCACGGTTCTTAACTGCCTACTACAATAAATATTGTCACGTGTCCGGGGTTCCGTGGCAAATTATAAATGGGTCTGGTGTGCATGATTGTATTTATTATCTCCTTATTCAGACAATTCACACTTACAAGCCATACAGCGCTATCGCTGATTTACGCAATTTACAGTTAACCGTTTGACAGCTGACCCCTAGTACTCTTCTGTACTTGTACAGCTCCTAGCTTCAGAATTCGACTCTCTTATATTTCCTCTGCACGGACCACTTAGCACAGAAACACCTGCCTGCCTGCCTGACTGTATTGTTGCTTTTCATAACGGAACTATTCGTTGTCGCAGGAATGTGTTCAGCGACCCGTTGCCTAGCACTGGGTCGATACATCACAATCATCGGAAAAAAAAACACGTATCTGCATCGCTACGTGATAGAGTAGATCCGGTTTCTTTTTTGTTCGTCGTAGGGCATGCATATGGGCATGTCTGTGTATCCGCGTGGGTACCAGAAAATCTAACGAACTAGATGAAACAGGACTTCACTGACGGTAGGCCAGACGACGTTGCGTTTCAAACGTGAACTGGAAAGGAAGTGAACCAAAGCTCCACACTGGAATGGGCGATGAAAATAGTGAGCTGGAATAGCCGGTCTCAGAGCCATTACTTGAACGGGACCTTCCGAATGTAATTCAGGAACTAACTACTCAAACCGCTACATATGATATTGAAAATTGTGGGGAGGGGATGTAGTTCAGAGCATAGTTTGTAGAGGTAGCTCTCATCCAGTGGGCTGGAACAACTGCAGATCCGTTGGTAGCCGCCGGGCTCATATTTGGGAGGGGAAGAGGGACGTCGCATGAATAGTTTCTCCGTCAGAAATGGAGTAACCCAGGAGAATATTCAGGGCGAACATTGCGTTCTTGTTACTGGATTTCACTAAGCTCGTACCCAGGTGCCGAACACTTACTTTTGTCGTAACTTCCCTCATTCCCACCAAGCGAATGTTGGGTGTTATTGTATGGGGAGCCACGTTTGCTTCCTTTCACATTCTTCCCAATTCACGATTCACACCGTGGCACGTTTTGGGCATACACTCCATGCAATTTCGAGAATGCCCTTATCCGAACGGTGACTGAATATGCCGCCGGGAACTAAGTTGTGCGCATTGCATCAGATAGAAGTAGAATAGCCCCCCCCCCCCAAGAATATATGCTTACGCCGTTGGATCCCGTGGGGTTCAATTGGAGATCCAGACTGTGCGTCAGACAAAAATAGAACTGTTCAACATTTTGGGGCACTCCAGGGCATTGATTATGAATTACAAAGTGGTGTTCGGTATGTGCTCAGCTGTTGAGGTGGTTGACTAAGGTCAGTACTGTGATAAGACTCCAGCATGTTGAGTTCGTGATGGTTGTGCAGATCAGTGCTTTAGGAAACACCAGTTCCAAGGTGCGTGAGCATGTTGCTTTATCCTTAGGCAAACTGGAGCTTGAATACTAATTCTGTACTTTCTCATTGTGATCTTTGTTTAGTGCCAACTTCCGTATTACTTTGTTTCCATCCTTTTTAGTTTTCTCTCAGTGTGGAAGTACATTCTGTGCCAGTTTCATTATTCTGCTGTAAGACAATATTATTGTTATGAGTTTTGCTTTATTTTTGTACGGATCCTTCGAAATGAAATAAGCAGCCGTTTAATATGAATCCCAGGAATGTGTACATGTTGCTGAAGGTAAAAATGTCTATATTGGTAGTAGTCCTTAATATTAAGTTGCAAAGTCCCGAAGGTCCTTCAAGAACTGTTGTGTTCCTGCTTCAGCGGTTGAAATCGTAACAGCTTGCGTATTTACCTTGTTGACCTCAGAAATTGAAGCGCACTTTATACTTCGTATAAATTACAAGTGTATGGATATTAAAACGATTTACGAAGAGACGTTCACCCGTCTGAGGCCACACGAGAAAGCAAGTGTAGAATTATTCATTCGATTATTTTACTGTTCTCTGTCCCATTTTGGTGTTACGCAGGGCTGAAAGACGTACGTTAGGACGGCTGTGGACCAGTACGTGTCTTGGCTTACCATTTGCTGGGTTTAATGTCGAGATGACATTTTGGGATGGTTATGATCGAGAGGCGTGGGAAGAAGTGGCGCTTCATTATGGACATATTCACCTAGAATGACTGATCTCCAAGTGCGAGAATCTTCTGGATAGCATGAGTTCGAATCCTAATCCTTCCCGTTTCGAGCTCGAGGCAGTGCTGGTGGTCTTAGTGTTAACATGATACGGTCGCCACACTCTCGGGTGTAGATTAGTCACTGTCCCATATCATGTGATGCTCATAGCTGGAGAATCTTTACGAGGTTCACGCAAATCTCTTCACTCACTGGAGATGGCTGGGATGCCCCATTTGTATTGACCTTTCGACCGCGATATGTTGACACTTTCTGAAGTCTTAAAAAGATGAATTCTTAGTCCTAACCTTTGAATTTCGCGTTGAGGGAAAGTATGACAAAGAGTTCATGGAGTTATGTAGCGGGAATTGTTAAGAAAGCACTGGAATTAAAGTTGATTCGTTCATAGTTCCTGTTCCCTTCTACCTTTATACGTACATTTTTCTTTTTTGCTCGTGGGTTTTACCAAGTATGCGGCGCATTCACGCAACTCATATTTCTGAAACACAAGACGTGGCGTTTGAAATGGAAATAGAAGTGACTGACGATGGTTGTGTGTGTTGCGTGTTTTAGGCGTTCCTGGAGATGGCTGACGAAGTGGCCGCCTCCACCATGGTCACGTACTTCACCAGTTGCATGGCACAGCTGAGAGGCAGAGCCGTGTACGTCCAGTTTTCCAATCACAAGGAGCTCAAGACAGACCAGACTCACTCCAATGCGGTGAGTATAGGCATCTTTTTAATGAGTAGCTTATGTGGTATATAATATTGTTTTCGAAGGTGTTTGCAAAATGTACAGTAAGTGTTGTAGTTAGGCACCCTGTTGTGTTGATATCGTATTATATTTTAGCATTTCGTTGCATTGAGGCACTACCCTTATTATTTAAGTACACGTCAGTAATGCAACAATATAGAAGACATCAAGAATATGTCACTCACTAAAATGTATTTTAATGCTTTATGATGTTAAAATTATTAAAATGTCAATAGGACACTAAAAGTATATTTTATACATTAAAAGTGATTATCAAAATTTCTTGAAATGTCTCTGGTTTTACATGTATTTTTCTAGTTTTGCTACATGTTTTTGCCTCACATGGGGCCAATATCAGGTGATGTGTGATGTCACATTTTTAGTGAGTGACATATTCTTGATGTCTTCTATATTGTTGCATTATTGACGTGTACTTAAATAATAAGGATAATGATATCATTAGTTTCTAAATGCCTTGGACTACAGATGTAAGTCAACAAGCTGTTGCCATGCACGTGTTTGCCTTACCTGTAGTATGTGATGGGTTATATTAGTTTCATTTTAAGGTACATGTATGTACATATATGTATATTTACGTAAGAAAAGCAGAACAGCATTACAGTGGCAGCAGAGTCCTTCATCACAAGAACCTGTACACCTGCTGATGGCCGGTTAGGCCGAAACATGTATTGACAGTAAAGAGAAGAAGACGAGAGAATATTAACCGACGTTGCAGACAGACGGCAAAAAAGTGGAACGCAAAGTCGGTTTTGAGATTCGGTAAATCCCGCCTACCGAGCTTATTTAAATCGGCGTTCTCGGTGACGAAGTTAGCTCTAGTCCCCCTTCCTCGATTTCTGCTTTTAGTTCTTCGCTCGCGACGACTTTTTCTGTGACTTTCGATTTATACCTGTGACTTAGTTGCATTTCCGCCAATCCTGCTTCTCACGTTTGTACTTATGCAACCTGTTCCTCTAGCACTGCGCCATGAAGGCGTATGGGGGAGTGGATATATATCCACATTTTCTTGATCTCCGTACTATTTGGAAGTGCGTAGTCAGCTTCACGCATCGGCCGCTTTACCCCTTTGGAAAGAGCCCCCGGTACCCATTAGATAGAGTGAGTGGACACCAGAGCCGGTATGGACGACATGGAGAAGAGAAAATTCTTGACCCTACCGGAACTCGAACTCCGGTCCCTTGGTCGTCCATCCCGTCGCCACTCGCTTTACCGACTGCACTATCCCGGCTTATACTCTTAGTAAAGTTAGTCATGTGTGGTAAGATACTGTTATAAAAAGTTAATGCTGCAGTATGCTGATTGATCGTAATAAGTAAGAATCGAATTGTTAGCGGCTGCTTCAGCTCACGTCGTCCTGATCTGTGCAGTTCTTTGACCTACACTGCGTCCACTGAGGTGCCACACACAATATTGCCCTCGGTGAATCTTTGGTCTACCGAAGGAATTGATTACCCTACTGAGAAACGGACGTGGATGCAGAAGGCCCCTTGCGGGAGGGGTGGGGTGCAGTGCGGTCGGCTGCACCGTGCACAGCCGAAACATGGCCTGAAGATATGTGAGACAAGAATAAACGCTGCATTTTAGACTGCAGTGGATGTGCACACATTCGCAGTTTCAGTGCACCAGGCGTTCCTGTTACTGTACATATCTCAGTGATAAATGTACAGATTTGTCCGATCTTTTTTTTGTCTGTTCGGTTGCAGGCTACTCGAAACGGGACTTAGACGGTGGCATGGGCCGGGTTCGATCCCGGGTCTGGTCAAGTGGGATTTGTGGTGGACAAAGTGGCGCTGGAGCAGGTTTTCTCCGAGTACTTCGGTTTTCCCAGCCAATCTTCATTCCACCTATTGCTCCACAATAACCCTCACCTATCATCTGGGGCTGGTACAATAGGCCAGAAGTGGCCGCAGTGCAAGGGACTTAGTCCCACCCCAGTAGCAGTAAAAAAAAATCCCCTTCTCTGCAATACACACACAGGCAAGAAACTGTCGACTTGTCCCTTTGGCCCACTGATTCTCATTTGTACCGTGTGATTCAACCATTTCACCCATTCTTTGGCTTGGCATCCTGTAACACGAAGTAGGAATTGCTCACAGTTTTCGCACATGACAGGTCACTATTTCAGATCAGTGAGGCCTTTGTGGTCAGAGGACTTCAAAGAAACTGCAAACACATCTCATTGCTCGTGGATTCGAACTCGTGATCACAGTTTTTAGGCTTTCCAGATTCGTGCGACCACTCGAATCAGCTGCTGCTTGATACTATATTACGATTTTTTAACTTTCATATTCCGGTGTGTGTGTTTCTGTGTGCATTGATTTGTGGCGTGTCCTCCCGAAACTTTCAGTTCACTCTGTGATGGAATTGGCCTAGGGAGTTTCAGAGTGGCTCTTGAAGACGCAAAGTGTATCAGTGCCGAGGATGTGCTGTAGAAGTTACTGGACTGTGTATTATGCTAGTAACAAATCAAAATTTGGTTCAGGAGGAAATTAAGAGGAGATTGGATTAGGGTAATGTTTGCTACCGTTCAGTCCAAAACGTTTTGTTTTCTCGTCTGCTGCCTAAAAACGTTAAATTAGAATATACGAAAGTATAATTTTGCCAGTGGTTTTTTAGGGGTGTGAAACTTGGCCTCTTACGTTAAGGGAAGAACATAGACTGAGGGCGCTTCAGAAGAGGATAATATTTGAACCGAAGGGTGGGCGATATGTGGTCGGAGAAAGCAGTATAATGAGGAGCTTCATAACTTGTTGTCTTCGCCAAGTATAATTAGAATAATCAGGTCAAGTGGGATGAGCTAGTTAGGGTATTTAGTGCGCATGGGGGGAAGAGGAACGAATGTATGATTTTGGTGGTAAGGCCGCAGGGTAGAGACTACTAGGAAATCTAGTCGTACTGGGAACGTAGTATGGACTGGATTGATCTTGCTTAGGATAGGGACTTGTGGAGAGCGTTTATTAACACGGACATGAAGTCTGGGTTCCATAAAATATATGTCAAATTCTTGAGTAGCTGCGCAACTGGCGGTTTATAGCTCTATGTAGGTAGGTAGGTAGTGCTGTACCATCCGTGGGTGAATGTATGCGAGTAGAAAGTGAGGGTTGTTAAATTCTTGCAGTTGATCTGGCTGTTAGCAGCAACGCCACGAACTTCAATGCGGTTTGTACACTTTACTAAAATTTGTGAGGAAGCAATTATGCACCGAGTTGTATACCTATACGTATTTTGGCCACGATTTTATATAATTTTGAGCTCACTGCTCTGCTGACTGATATCGTGTCACGTTTCCCTAGCCCCTATCCAGGAGGGCTAAGTCGTTTTTGAGACAAAGATATGCATATGATGTCCTTTACATGTTTGTCTCCATTCAGGTAACAGAGATTTTGTGAACCTGTATATTTACATCATGTCTCTAGAGGCCGCCGCACATTCGTAAGTTTTAATTTTGTGCCGTAAATAATTGCCACGTGTCGTTCTTGGTCCTCACCCAATGCAGGAGCCACAGAGGCGCCGCGCAGTCCGAGATTCTGAAGTTGCATGTGTTACTAGAAGTGAGAATGGAGGGGTGTGGACTGTAGTTACCGGTAAAGGGACCAGTAGCGCACGGTTGCGGATCTCTGGATTCTGAAAGATGCTGGGAAATTCTTCAGTAACTACTCAGACATTGTCTTGTTAGGAACGAATTCGCGCCTTGGAATTAGTTAATGGACCCTAGAAAGACGTACTCGTACAAGGATTAGTAAGCAGTATGTAAACAGTTGGCCGGTCGCACAATAAAATGTTATATATAGCTTCCATTATTATTGGGGATCATTGTGGGTTTCGACGTAACAGATCAACTACAGATCAGATATTGGAGAAAAAATTGGGAGTACGACGAGACAGTACAACATCTATTCATAGACTTCAGGAAGGCATATGATTCACTTAGGAAGGAAATATTATATAATATTCTGATAGAGTTTGGGATACCCATGAAACTAGTTAGGATGATTAAAATGTGTTTAAACGAAACGTGTAGTAAAGTCCGTATAGGTAAAAATTTGCCTGATAAATTTCCTATCCAGAATGGTCTAAAACAAGGAGATGCTTTATCGCCACTCCTTCTCAACTTTGCTTTAGAATATGCCATTAGGAAGGTCCAGGAAAATCAGGTGGGACTGAAACTACACGGGACATATCAGTTGTTGGTCTTTGCCGACGATGTGAATCCACTGGGTGATAACATACGAGGAGCGTTCCGTATATAATGCCTCCTTTTTTTTTTAAATGAAAAGTACAACAGATACAGAATGCATAATAACGCAGATGAATAGAGCAAGATTTCAGCTACGTACAGTTATTTTTCCACATAATCACCACCATTCGTTATGCACTTTCGCCAGCGATGAACAAGAGCCTGTACGCCGCGCCCATAAAAGTCTGCGCCAGCAGAGGCTAGCCACTTTCTTACAGCTGCAATGAGAGCATCGTTGTCTGGAAAATGTTGCCCACGTAGTCCGTCTTTCATAGGCCCAAAGAGATGGAAGTCTGAAGGCGCTAAATCGGGGCTATAAGGTGAATGTGGTAGGACAGTCCAGCCAAACTTTGCAATGTGTGCGGTGGTCGCCAAACTGGTACGGGGTCTAGCGTTATCGTGTTGCAAGCGAAAGGTTGTCTGCTTCTCTGGCCTGACTCGGGAAATGCGGGCTTTCAGCTTAATCAGCGTCGTCTTGTAACGTTCAGAATTGACAGTCTCACCAGGCTCCAGGAAATCCAAGAAAATCACACCCCGCCTATTCCAAAAGACCGTGCACATCACTTTCCCTGCCGATGGCTGTGTCTTGAACTTCTTTTTTCTTGGGGAATCCCGATGTAGCCACT